AAACAAGAAAAAATGGTAACAAATTATCTAACTCTACAACTCAAAGAGTTAGAAAAAGAACAACAAGAAAAGCCCAGTGTAAACATAAGGAAGGAAATAACAAAAATAAAACCAGAGATAAATGATATAGAGACCAAAGAAACAATACATAAGATCAACAAAACCAAGTGCTGGTTCTTTGAAAGGATAAAAAAATTGATAAACCTCTAGCCTCACTAACCAAGAAACAAAGACATAGGACCCAAATAAACAAAATCAGAAATGAAAGAGGTGAAATAACAACAGTCCCCGCTGCAATACAAAGGATTGTTACAAAGTACTAAGAACAATTCTATTCCAACAAACTGGACAACCTGGAGGAAAGAGACATATTCCTAGGAAAATACAACCTTCCAAAACTCAATCAGGAAGAATCGAAAAATCTCAATAGACCAGTGACTTGGGAAGAAATTGAAACAGTCATCAAAAAATTCCAGCAAACAAAAGCCCAGGGCCAGATGGCTTCACAGGGGAGTTTTACCAAACATTCAAGAAAGAACTAAAATCCATCCTCCTCAGACTATTCCAAAAAAATTCAAGAGGAAGGAACACTTCCAAACTACTTCTATGAATCCAGCATCACCATAATACAAAAAAAAGATAAAAACAATACAATGAAAGAGAATTACAGGCCAATATTCCTCATGAACATAGAGGCCAAAATCCTCAACAAAATTCTAGCAAATCGGCTCCAGCAGTACATCAGAAAGATCATACACCATGATCAAGTAGGATTTATTCTGGGAATGCAAGGATGGTACAATATCCACAAATCAGTAAACGTGATACATCACATAAACAAATTGAGAGATAAAAATCTTATAGTCATATCAATCGATGCAGAAAAATCATTTGATAAAATCCAACAGCCTTTCCTGATAAAAACTCTCAACAAGGTGGGAATAGAAGGGTCGTACCTCAACATAATAAAAACTATATATGGTAAACCCACAGCAAACATCATACTCAATGGGCAAAAACTAAAACCATTCCCTCTAAGAACAGGAACAGACAGGGATTCCCACTCTCTCCACTCCTGTTTGAAATAGTACTGGAAATACAAGCCATTGCAATTATACAAGAAGAGGAAATAAAAGGCATCCCAATTGAAAAAGAATAAGTAAAGTTATCCTTATTTGCAGATGACATGATATTGTACATCAAAAACCCAAAAGACTCCATCAAAAAACTAATTGACTTAATAAATGAATTTGGCAATGTAGCAGGATACAAAATTAATGCCAAGAAATCTATAGCATTTCTGTACACCAACAGTAAACTTACAGAAAGAGAGACTAAAACAGCAATCCCATTTACCATTACACCAAAAAACTAAGATACCTAGGAATAAACTTAACTAAGGAGATAAAAGATCTGTACGATGAAAACTAAACAACACTGAAAAAAGAGATACAGGAAGATGTAAACAGATGGAAGAACATAACATACCATGCTCATGGATTGGTAGAATCAACATTATCAAAATGTCTATACTTCCCAAAGCAATTTATAACTTCAATGCACTCCCCACTAAAATACCAATGGCATACTTCACAGACTTAGAAGGAACTCTCCAAAAATTCATCTGGAACAAAAAAAGACCCTGAATAGCCACAGCAATTCTGAGAAAGAAGAGTAAAATAGGAGAGATCTCAATACCAGGTTTCAAGCTGTATTACAAAGCCACTGTTCTCAAAACAGCCTGCTATTGGCATAAGAACAGACATAGAGATCAATGGAATAGAATAGAGAAACCCGGATATCGACCCAAACCTCTATACTCAATATTTGACAAAGGAGGTACGAACATACAATGGAGTCAAGACAGTCTCTTCAAAAATGGTGTTGGGAAAATTGGACAGTCACTTGCAAAAAAATGAAACTACATCACCAACTTACACCATACACAAAAATAAACTCAAACTGGATACAGAACTTACACATAAGATAGAAAACCATAAAAATACTAGAGACATCCACAGGTAGCAAAATCTCTGACATATGCCAAAAGAACTTCTTCACTGATACTGCCCCTAGAGCAATGGAAGCTAAAGAGAAACTAAACAAATGGGACTACATCAAAATCAAAAGCTTTTTACAGCAAAAGAAACCATCAACAAAACAACAAGAAAGCACACTGTATGGGACAATATATTTGCAAATGTTATCACTGATAAATGTTTAATCTAAAAGATCTACAGACAGCTTATACAACTAAATACAAGAAAGATAAATGATCCAATTAAAAAATGGGCAATGGACCTAAATAGAATATTTTCAAAAGAAGACAGAAGGAAGGCCAAAAGGCACATGAAAGCATGCTTAAAGTCACTAATTATCGGAGAGATGCAAATCAAAACTACAATTGGGCACCATTTCACACCTGTCAGAATGGCCAATATCAACAAATCAGCAAACCATAAGTATTGGCGAGGTTGTGGAGAAAAAGGAACCCTCATGCACTGCTAGTGGGAATGCAGACTGGTGCAACCACTGTGGAGAGCAGTATGGAACTTACTCAAAAAATTGAAAATGGAACTCCCATTTGACCCAGTAATCCCACTCTTAGGAATATATCCCAAGAAACTAGAAACACCAATCAGAAAGGATATATGCACCCCTACGTTCATAGAAGCACAATTTACAATAGCTAGGATTTGGAAACAGCCTAGGTGCCCATCAGCAGATGATTGTATCAAAAAACTATGGTACATCTACACAATGCAATATTATGCTGCCATAAAAAAAGAAGGAATTCTCATCATTTGCAGCAACCTGGATGGAATTGGAGACTATCATGCTGAGTGAAATAATCCAATCAATGAAAGAGAAACACCAAATGACCTCACTCATTTATGGACAATAAAGAACATTAAAAATTGACAAACAAAAAGATACATATAGAGACAGTAAAGCAACAAGCAGACTGTCAAATTACAGTGGGGAGGGGAGGGAGATCTGGGGAAGATTATAGATCAACTGAAGGACTTGTATACATGCATATAAGTATAACCAATGGACACAAAACTCTGGGGAAGGAGGGGATGTATGGGGGGGGGGGCAATGGTATATGTACACAGATAATAATTTAATTTACAAAATTAAAAAAAAGAAAAAGAAAAAGTAAAACCTACCCTTCTCAGTCTATTCCAAAAAATTCAAGAGGAAGGAACACTTCCAAGCTCTTTCTATAAAACCAGTGTTATCCTAATTAACAGACTAGTCCTGGGAGAGAAGGGCATAGAACTAAAGGCCTATCTAAAAATTAATTAATTAATTAATCTGGCAATATATTGATATTATCTAACCCTACACTATAAAGAAAATTACAGGCCAATATTGTTGATGAGCATAGAAACTAAAATATTCAATAAAATATTAGCAAATTGTACCTAATAATACATTAAAAAGATCATACACCATGATCAAGTGGAATTGAATCTAGGCATGGAAGTCTGGTACATTATCTGCAAATCAATAAATGTGATACATCACATAAACAAATTGAGAGACAAAAATCACATAGATATATCAATTGATGCAGAAAAAAAAAACATTTGACAATATCCAACACCATTTTTTGATTTATAAAAAATATTTCAGCAAAAGAATAGAAGGATCATACTAAACATAATAAAATCCATATATGACAAATCTACAGTCACCATCATACTCAATGGGAAAAACTAAATCAATTCCCATACAAAGTGGAACAAGAAAGGGATGCCTAGTTTCACTCTTCCTGTTTAATGCAGTACTGGAAGTGCTAGCCATAGCTATCAGACAAGAAGAAATGAAGGGTATCTGAATTGGAAAAGAAAAAGTAAATCTGTCATTATTTGCTGATGATATGATATTGTACATAGAAAATCAGAAATCCTCCATCAGGGAACTATTAGATTTAATAAATGAATTTGGCAGAGTAGCAGGATACAAAATTAACACCCAGAAATATATGGCTTTTTATTCACCAATAATGAACTCAGAGAAAGAGAAACTAAGTAAATAATCCCATTTACCACTGCAACAAAAACATTAAGATACCAAGGACTAAACTTAAATAAGGAGGTAAAAAACCTATACTCTGAAAACTACAGGCCATTGAAAAAAGGAGATAAAGGAAGATATAAACAAGTAGAAGAACATACCCAGTTCATGGATTGGTAGAATCAACATCATTAAAATGTCCATGCTATCCAAAGCAATCTAAAGATTCAACACAATCTCCATTAAAATACCAACAGCATATTTCACAAACTTAGATCAAACTCTCCAAAAGTTTATATGGAATAGAAAAAGACTCCAAAGAGCCACAGCAATCCTGAGAAAGAAGAACAAAGTTGGAGGAAGCACAATACCAGACATCAAATTTATTATAAATCACTGTTCTCAAAACAGCTTGATACTGGCACAAGGCATATAAATAGACGAATGAAACAGAACAGAGAACCCAGAAATCAACCTAAACCATTATGCTAAATTCACATTTGACAAATTAGGTAAGAGCATACAATGGCGTCAAGACAGTCTCTTTAATAAATGGTATTGGAAAAAATGGACAGATACTTACAAAAAAATTTAAACTAGACCACCAACTTACACCATACACAAAAATAAACTCAAAATGGATAAAGGACTTAAACGTAAGACAGGAAACCATAAAAATCTTAGAAGAAGCCATAGGCAGAAAAATACCAGACATTTGTCATAGCAATATCTTTACCAATACAGCTCCATGGGCAACAGAAACTAAAGAGTAAATAAACAAACAGGACTACATCCAAATAAAAAGTTTCTGCACAGCAAAAGAAAGCAACAACAAAATAACAGGAAAGCCCTCTGCATGGTAGAATATATTTGCCAATGTGACATCTGATAAGGGTTTAATGTCCAAAATTTATAGGGAACTCATAAAACTTAACAAAAGGAAGATAAAAAAAATAAATTTAAAAATAGGCAAAGGTCCTAAATACACATTTCTGGAAAGCAGACATACAGAAGGCCAAGAGGTATATGGAAAAAAATGGTCAAAGTAACAAATCATCTGAAAGATTCAAATTAAAACAACAATGAGGTAACTTCTCACACCTGTCAGAATGGCTATCATCCACAAATCAACAAATAACAAGTGCAGGTGAGAATGTGGACAAAAAGGAATCCTTCTTCACTTGATGCTGCCACTGTGGAAAACAGTATGGAGTTTCCTCAGAAAAGTAAAAATGGAACTCCCATTTGACCCAGTAATCCAACTTCTAGGAATATATCCCCAAAAATCAGAAACACCAATCAGAAAGAATACATGCACACCTATGTTCATAGCAGCACAGTTTACAGTAGCTAACATTTGGAAACAGTTTAAGTGACCATTAGTAGATGGGTGGATTAAAAAACTGTGGTACATTTACACAATGGAATATTGTGCTGCTGTAAAAAAAGAAAAAAAAGAAGAAAAAAAAAACTCTTACCATTTGCAACAGCATGCATGGACCTGGAGAACATTATGCTAAGTGAAATAAGCCATTCAGAGAAGGATAAGTATCAGAGAAGGATAAGTAACACATGATCTCACTCATTTGTGGAATATAATGAACAACAGTAACTGATAAACAAAAATAGATCCAGGGACATAGAAGCATCAAACAGACCTTCAAACCTCAAAGGGAAGTCAGGGGAGGGTGGTCAGGGAGAGACTTTGGGGGAAGAAGTAAACCAAAGAACTAACCAATGGACATAACTATTAAACACAAACAATGGGGGGAGGGACGTGAAGGCTGGGCAGTGGGGGGAGGCAGGTTGGGAGAGGATAATTAGTGAAAGGGGGACATATGTTTCACTATACTAATAAAATGGTAATATGCTAATAAGACTGGAAGACCTTCCCGGAGACCTTCTTGACATCCTTCTGGGCAAAGCCTTAGCGGTAGGGCCAAGGCACCGGTGGTGAGAGTCCATCAGGCCAAGAGGGAAGGGCAATTAGGGATGATCAGGCTGGTGGGGAAACATTTTGGAGCAAGCAGGCCAATAGAGAGGACAGTTGGGGGCAAGAAGGCCAATAGGGGAGCAGTTGGGGTCGAGAAGGCAAGTGGGGAGGGCAGTTAGGGGCAAGCAGACCAGCAGGCAGGTGGTTAAGGGCAATCAGGCAAGTAGGCAGGTGAGTGGTTAGGACCCAGCAATCCCTGATTGCGAGAGGGTGCAGGCCAGGCTGAGGGACACCATTCCCCCCACCCCCCATGCACTTGTCAATAATAAAGAATTTAAAAATGTTCCATTACCAGTTATTGTCCTACTCAGGTGTTGTAATTCTTCTTGGTTGAGTTTGGGAAGATTGTATTTTTCTAGGAATATGTCCATTTCATCCATGTTTTTCAATTTGTTGGAAAATAGTGGTTCTTACTATATTTTTTATAGTCCTGTCTCTGGGGTCAGTTGTTACTTCACTTCTTTCATTTATAATTTTATTTTTTGGGTTCTCACTCTTTGTTTCTTTTGTTTTTGTATTTTTTTAATTTTTTTTATTAAAATATTACACATAACACATATATCTCCTTTTACCCCCATTAACATTCCCCCAGTCTCCCCTTAAGCCTTGTCACATGCCCTCATCCAACACCCCCGCCCCCAGTGTTTTGTGTCCATTGGTTGTGCATATATGCATGCATACAAGTCCTTCAGTTGATTCTCTCCCCCTCTCCCCAAAACTCTCCAGCCTTCCCGTTGTAATTTAACAGTCTGTTCTATTCTTTAATGCTTCTGTATCTATCTTTTTATTCATCAGATTAAAATGTTATTTTCCATAAATGAGTGAGATCATGAGGTATTTTACTTTCATTGCCTGACTTATTTCCCTTAGCATAGGGGTGTCGAACTCAATCAGAGAAGGGGCCAAAATCTAAAATCCAGCCTAAATCGCGGACCGAATGGTTTACTGAACAGTCATAAACTGTCATTGTGATGGAAACGCAGCGGAGTGCAGTGATGACAGCGCAGTGCGGGCCACATTGCAAGGCCTGGCGGGACGGATTTGGCCCGCGGGCCTTGTGTTTGACACATGTGCCTTAGCATAATGCTCTCCAGTTCCATCCATGCTGCTGCAAATGGTAAGAATTCCTTCTTTTTTATAGCAGTGTAGTATTCCATTGTGTAGATGTACCATAGCTTTCTAATCCACTCATTTGCTAATGGGAATTTAGGGTGTTTCCAACTCTTAGCTATGGTTTTTGCTGCTATAAAAATGGAGCTGTGTATATCCTTTCTGATTGGTGTTTCTAGTTTCTTGGGATGTATTCCTATGAATGGGAATACTGGGCCAAATGGGAGTTCCATTTTTAGATTTTTTTTTTTTTTTAGGAAACTCCACAGTGGCTGCACCAGTCTGCATTCCCACCAGTATTGTACAAGGGTTCCTTTTTCTCCGCATTTTCAACAATCCTTGTCATTTGTTGATTTGTTGATGATTGCCATTCTGACAGGTGTGAGGTGGTATGGCATTGTCGTTTTGATTTGCATCTCTCAGATAATTAGTGACTTGAGCATGTTTTCATATGTCTCTTGGCTTTCCTTCTGTCTTCTTTCAAAATGTTTCTATTTAGGTCTGTTGCCCACTTTTTTATTGGATCATTTATCTTCCTTTTATTAAGTTGTATGAGTTTTCTGTAAATATTGGAGATTAAGCCCTTATCAGTGGTAACATTGGCAAATATATTGTCCCATGCAGTGGGCTTTCTTGTTGTTTTGTTGATTGTTTCTCTTGCTATGAAAAAGCTTTTTATTTTGATATAGTCCTATTTCTTTATTTTCTTTTTTTAATTAATTTATTTATTTTTACATATTTTATTAATTTTTTTTGCCCCCCTCCCTTCCTCCCACACATCCCCTCCCTCCCCAGAGTTTTGTGTCCATTGGTTGTACTTATATGCATGTATACAAGTCCTTCGGTTGATCTATTATCTTCTCCAGATCTTCCTCCCCTCCCCACTGTTATTTGACAGTCTGCGTGTTGCTTTACTTTCTCTATATCTGTCTCTTGGTTCATCAGTTTATAATGATCTTTATCGTCCACCAATGAGTGAGGTCATGTGGTGTTTCTTCCTTCATTGATTGGTTTATTTTCTCTTTAGTTTCAATTGTCCTAGGAGCAGTATCAGTGAAGAAATTGCTTCAGAATTTGTCTGAGATTTCTCTGCCTGTGGATTCCTCTAGTATTTTTATAGTTTCCCATCTTATATTTAAGTCCTTTATCCATTTTGAGTTTATTTTTGTGTATGGTATAAGTTGGTGCTCTAGTTTTATTTGTTGCATGTGTCTGTCCAATTTTCCAAACACCATTTATTGAAAATACTGTCATGACTTTATTGTATGTTTAAGCCTTCTTTGTCAAATATTAATTGATCATAGTGGTTTGGGTTGATATCTTGGTTTTCTACTCTATTCCATTGGTCTATTTATTTGTTCATGTGCCAGTACCAGGTTGTTTGGAGAACAGCGGCTTTGCAATACAGCTTGAAATCTGGTATTGAGATCCCATCTACTTTGTTCTTCTTCCTCAGGATTTCTGTGGCTATTTGAGGTCTTTTTTTATTTCAGATGAATTTTTAGAGAGTTGTTTTTAGGTCTGTGAAATCTGCTGTTGGTATGTAGTGGGCAGTGCATTGAATCTATAGATTGCTTTTGGTCTGTATGGACATTTTTATTATGTTGATTCTATGAATCCATGAACATGGTGTTTTCTCCCATCTGTTTATGTCTTCCTCTATCTCTTTTTTTCAGTGTCCTGTAGTTTTCTGTGTATAGGTCTTTTACTACCTTAGTTTAAGTTTATTCCTAGGTATCTTAATTTTTTTTTGGTGCGAAGGTAAATGGGATTGCTTCTTTAGTCTCTCTTTCTGAAAGTTCACTATTGATGTATAAAAGTGCCATAGATTTCTCTGTGTTAATTTTGTATCCTGCTACATTGCTGAATTCACTTATTAAGTGTAACAGTTTTTTATTGGAGTCTTTAGGGTTTTTTAATGTACAATATCATGTCATCTGTGAATAAGGACAGTTTTACTTCTTTTCCAATTTGAATGCCTTTTATTTCTTCTTCTTGTCCAATTACAATGGCTAATACTTCTACTACTATGTCAAACAGGAATGGTGAGAGTGAGCATTTTCTGTCTTGTTTCTATTCTTAGGGGAAATGGTTTTAGTTTTTGCCCATTGAGTATGATGTTGACTGTGGGTTTCTCATATATGGCTTTTATTATGTTGTGGTGTGATCCTCCTATCCCTACCTTACTGAGAGTTTTTATCAAAAATGGGTCTTGGGTTTTGTCAAATGATTTTTCTGCATCGATTGATATGATTGTTTGGTTTATATCTTTCAGTTTGTTTTTATGATATATCATATTTATTGATTTGTGGATATTGTAACATCCTTTCATCCCTGGGATAAATCCTACTTGGGCAGGGTGTATGATCTTTGTGCTATACTTCTGGATCTGATTTGCTAGAATTTTGATGAGAATTTTAGCATCTATGTTCATGAGGGATATTGGCCTGTAATTCTCTTTCATTGTGTTATCTTTATCTGGTTTTGGTATTAGGGTGATGCTGGCTTCATAGGAGCTTGGAAGTGTTCCTTCCTCTTGAATTTTCTGGAGTAGCCTGAGGAGGACAGGTTTTAGTTCTTCCTTGAATGTTTGGTAAAACTCCCCTGTGAAGCCACCTAGCCCCAGGCTTTTGTTTGCAGAAAGCTTTTTGATGAATGCTTCAATTTCTTCCATAGTTATCAGTTTATTTTGATTTTCAGATTCTTCCTGGTTGGGTTTTAGAAGGTTTTATTTTTCTAGAAATATGTCCATTTCCTCCAGGTTGTCCAGTTTGTTGGAACAGAGTTGTTTGCAGTATCATTTAATAATCCTTTGTATTTTGGTGGGGTCTATTGTTATTTCACCTCTTTCATTTCTGATTTTCTTTATTTGGGTCCTCCCTCTTCGTTTCTTGTTGAGTCTGGCTAAAGGTTCATCAATCTTGTTTAACCTTTCAAAGAACCAGCGCTTGGTTTTGTTGAACTTTTGTATTGTTGTTGTTTTATTGTTTTTTTTTCTTTGTGTGTGCTTTTTGTTGTTATTGTTGTTGCTTGTCTCTATGTCGTTTATCCCCACTCTGATCTTTATTATTT